GCCGTGACCCCCCACGCGCAAGAAAAAAACACGGAGCAGTAACACGGGAAATATTCCCCTCCGTGTTATTCATGTGTTATTGTGCATTATTCATGTGTTATTATGTCCTAGGAATATTCTTGGTGTTATAATAACACAATAACACATCAATAACACATCAATAATACACAATAACACATTAATAACACGGGGGAAAATATTCTCCGTGTTACTGCGCTGTTTTTTTCTCTGTTGAGAATATTCCCGTGTTATTCAAGTGTTATTGTGTGTTATTCATGTGTTATTGTATCCTGAGAATATTCTTGATGTTATAATAACACAATAATACATCAATAACACATGAATAACACGCAATAACACATGAATAACACGGGGGGGAATATTCCCTGTTACTGCGCCGTTTTTTTCTCCTGTCGCGCGTGGCGTGATTTTATTGGCTACGCACGGTATTTCTACGTGCGTAGTACTGATGTAATATTTTTTCCGCCTATGAAAGTTTTGATGTGAGATTCGTAAATCCTAAGAATAGAGTGCTATGTATGTAAATTTCCCATAAAAAAAAAATGATAACTTCAATGGCATGATGAAAAAATCGTAGAGAATCAAAACCTATGCACAAAAATCTAGCAGCTGCATGAGTTCTAAAATAGATCATACAACAGTAATTTACACAAGAACTGAACAATCCTTATATAATAAATTCTATACTTATGCAAATAAAATATATTATTTCAAATTCACCTGTTTCTTAAAGTTCCTCTGATTGCAGATTGAATGTGTACGAAGTGAAGAATCTCAAGGGGCTGGATTCAACTGCCACTTTGCTTTGGAAAAAAATTAAATATGTATATGTGAATATAATATAATAATAAACCAAACTTCTACAGGTGATTTTGTGGCTTCGGTAAACTCTGGGCAACTGCAAAAAGCATATGATTATTATTAGGATATGAATGCAAAAATAACCCACAGGGAAAAGAAAATCCACATAAAGATGGCAAGGATGAATAGCAAAAAAGATTTACATGAATACCTCTCAATCCCCTAAACTTCAATTTTTACATGCATGTCAATTTAACTATGCATTAAAAAGCGTATTCCACTTTTAAAAAGTTAAAATTGTGATACTTTTGATGACATATGAAAGATTTGGGTGTTACAAATGGAAAAAGTAAAGTTTAAGTGTTAGATATGTAATATATAGGAAATGAGTGGTATGTATGTAAATGCCCATAGCAAATATGTTTATGTCAACAGCACGTAGAAAATAAATAAGCAGGTAGAAGAGAAATAGTTATTTGTGGTTGCATGCTCCAGGTACGTCATATATATTTGTAGTCACGAGGTAAGCTGCAGGAAGTTGTATTGGCGAAAGGTAAGGTCTGTCTGAAGGCAACAATAAATATTGATATCCCATCAGGATAGAGTAAAGTGCCAAAATAGTTCTTTGACTATTTACATAGAGCCATTTTAGTCTCGAAGCCTATAAAAATGTTGAATTAGTCCTTATACAATTTTAATATTGGCTGAAATATTCCGCAAAGATGACTATTATAGCCCCTATTAAAAGAGTCTGGGGACTAATAAGTTTTGATATCTAACATTATTAATGGACACAAACTCATTTAATATCCCTTCAAGAATAAGATTGGTCATGTTGTCTATGAAATGTAGGATGTAAATTTTGTAAGGATGACATGAACAAAAAGAAGAATCTTGGACACTCATATCTAGCTTATGAAATGAAGTTAAACTGAAATCACTAAAGGCTTAATTAATATTAGAGCTAAAAGATTTTAATTACACAGCATTCATCCCAATGCATTGCAAGGTCTTATAAAGCCCAACATTTTTAATAATTAATTTTTAAAATAATCGTGTATGAAACTAGAGATTTGGACGAATTGGCTCATCACTCAACTTAGTTCCATGCATTTCCTATTCATATAACCATCAAACGTATAAATATCAAATTGTCATAATTAAAAATTGACCACAAATTATTGTTATTACATCCAAATTAGATGGACACTCTTTAATCGAACATATTACAGATCACCCAAGTCCTTATCACTTACCTCAATATGTCTATATATTTGTGGGTGACAAACATTATAACAAATTACTTTCATAGAGTTTTTTTTTTTTTAATAACTCGTTAATTTCACATCTCCACAAGACAAAATAAGTAAGATAAACCAGGAAATATAATTTAGCCACTTATTAGCTTTATGATACATATCAACAAGCTTATTATATGAAATGAAATGAGTCGCCTTACGAAAATGATCCTGCACAACAAAGATAGTTTCAAGAATGTTCATGGTAATCCAACACAAAGTCCATGCTAACGCTTCCCGAGATCTATCATGAATAGGTGAAACTATGTATAAGTTAGCGACATATACCTTTTCCATTGGTCCTTCGACAAGTTCTGCACCACAAAACTATCCACACTACATTATTTTTCTTTGAATTGTAATATCTATCTTCATACATTTACAGTTTTATCCCGATCAAATAAAATATAATCTAATGAATTAAAAAAATGAGAGAAAAGGTTTTTTAGCAAAGATGATTTACTAATTAAGTGTTGATATTACATGAAAATATTTACAATCGGGCATATTCTTATGGGTTGCTTTAATTTTCATTATATGCAAAATAGGAAGAATCCAACTTAAAGGCAAATTTCTCAATCCAACATACCGTTTTAGTACGAGTGTATGTATGCACAAATTCAACACATCTTGCATTCATATCCAATTTCTTTTCTAAATTCAAATAGCACGCCGTTTGAAGATCAAAATATAGAATAAAATTCTTATTTGTATAACCACATAAAACTCACAAAGTTTAAATGTTTTCTATCATTCTCATTCAATTTATCAAAAAATAAACAATTGAAAGCTCTTCTTCACTTAAAACTCCTCTTATCTTGAAACCTAATTCATCACAAGAAACCTTGAGCACCTTATTAAAATTATATAGTTGAAGCATAAGCGTATTTATAATCTTTTTCTTAATAACTTTAAAGTACAATTACGAGAATTCATCCACCTAAATTCTTAATTTTTAAGATAACTTGTAATTGGTGTCATTACAATATTAAACATTTAATGAATCATCAACAGAATATAAATAGACTATAATAACTTAGAATTATATATATACAAGTAGTTGTTCACCTATTATTAATTACTTTGACTTTATCAAAATTAACATCCATTCCATCACTTGATACAACAAAACCCAAGAATACCATTGATTGTGTAACGAAACATCTTTTTTAAATTCAGATATAGCTTTCCAATTTGTAGTATTTCAAAGATTTACTTAGATGTAACAAAGATCAATCTAATTTAGATTAGAATATTGATAAAGTTAACTAATAAAAAGTCCAAAACACAATTCATGATTCTCATAAAAGTACTTTGAGCATTAGTCAACCCAAAAAAGCATCAACAAACATTCAATCAATTCTTAGTTTAAAAGCAATTTTTAATTTTATCTCCATCACATTGCTACTTAATGATAATCCCTTCTAAAATCAACTTCAAAAAAATATAATAGATCCAATCATTACTTCTATCTCATTACTCAATTGAGGTATAAAAAGTCTATATTTGATGGGAATTTTATTAATTGCTTTATTATTCGTGTAGATGCTGACGGCCACCTTTCATAGAGGTATGTAATGGAAGAACCAAACAAGGACTCGTACCTTTTCTAATAATTTATTTCTCAAATAAATTATCTAATTGCCAACATATTTAGTTAGATTCATCCTATGATATGAAAATTACATAAGGATGATCCAACAATAAAATCAAGTGTGCTGTATGTCTCAATTTTCTAGCCACCAAAGCATGCATTAATCCATCGTTATGACTGCTCTTTTCCAAAAACAGGCTAATTTAAAATATAAAGTGATTCTTCAAATAATTAGATGAACTTTAGGCTTAATGGATTTTATATATTCTCTCTTCTCTGCAAATGATTTCAAAAACAAAAGAAATAATACACCACAATCAACCAAAATTATACGCAATACAACCATAAGAAAATGTCATGCTAAATCTTATAACTATATAGTCGGTTGAACGTTAAACAAGAAATTTATGTTAGAGAAATCATTATTTTACATACCCAAGCTACTTAATATGATTCTGGGCGTGATTTAAAATTTCAAGTTATCCGATGATCCGATCAGTAGCAAATGGAGCCACAACAACAATAAAATTACCAGCAATAGTATAGAGTTTGCAAAATTTATCCTCATACCATGTTTAGTGAATAGTTTTACTTTTAAATCAAAGTTAATTTTAAGAGTGTCAATGATGCATTAGAAAACATATAAAATTTCCAATTGAAGCATCTTCAAAATCCTTAATGTCTTCATTAAATTGATGAACATCATCTATCTTAATATTTTCATTAATCCCTTAAACATATCAATAAGTCAATTCTAATCTTTTACAAAATTATTAGTTTTATAACATTTAGAGCAATTTTTTAAAAAAAATATTAGAGCCAACTGCAAAAGAGTAAGCTACATTAATAATAAATTTTGCAACAGAGTCAGCTACATTAATAATAAATTATCTTTTCTCGTCTTGGCTAACAACGATGCTATTTGCTTAAATTGCAGTGCAACCAAACATAATGAGTTTGATTGCTTTGATGAAAAAGTGCATTTCAAGCATACAAAGTAACTATTTAATACTACAAAATTTTGAAACTTAGTCAAAATATAAGGCAAATTGGAAAAGATGCTCAAGTGAGGCAGAGGGAATGTGTTGCGTTCTCTCTTTCTACTTCAAGTCTTAATCTAAAACTAAACATAGAATCTTCATTTTAGGATGTCTAATCATAACATGTCCTCAAATTTATTTTTCTCCAGTGAAAACTTGTCTTTTGTTTTAACTAGTTAATTTAATCAAGCAATAAACAACAATATGATAAAGGAAGATATTTATCTTTTAATTCTTCCACCTCAAGTCGAGTAAGTAATCACAGCTTATCTAGCAAACATTTCCTTGATTTTTTTTTATCATTTCCAATACATTTTTGCTTGCAACTTATCTTCAATTTTACAAATCTTACATGGCACTTACCTAACAATATTTGTTAGCTTAAACATTTCTTTTTTTTATTACCAAATTATAAAAAAATATTAAAAGCTATTTTCTCATTAAATATTAATGCCTCAATTTTTAACTTTCTTGTTTATGCCATCATCTACATCATAATTTTGAATCTATTATTACAGTAAGTTTCATTATAATACACCCTACAAGATCTATCATAATTATTCCCCCCTTGATAAATTCCTCGCCTCCTAGCCATTTTAACATTTAAATGAATAAGCTTGTCATTATTAGACTCAGATTCCAGTTTGCGTAGCTAAAATTAATAAGTTTCCAAAGTGCTAATTCATTCCTTAGTCTGATTTATATCACCATTTAACTTAGCTTTGATAACTCAATCAATTAGTAGTGCAAATTTGTCAAAAACCTCATACCATTAATTATCTATCAATCAAACATTAAATTAAGCCAAACTTCTAATTGACATCTTGACAAGAAGAAGCTCTGACACCAATTAGTGACATCTTAGGGTCCTGATGCAACTACATGATCGAATACTCAAAAGCATGCACACAAAAACAAAATTTGCAATTCATAGACCAACCATTTAATTAACTATTCATCCTTCTCATAAAAATTAGAAACATGTAAAATTCACACAAACAATAATTCAATGATAACCAAATAGAAATTTAGCATACAAATTCAATACCAATAACAAGTTCATTAAAAATCAAACTACAACAAGAAATACCATGCTGTGCTCCTCTTCCCACTCTCAGTGCATTAGCTAAATAAAAATATCTAATGCATGTATCCATTAGAAACTTCCCCTTGTGAAGTTTTCTTGCGCCTTTTTTCCCTTTTAATTGTGTGCAAATCTAAATTTGGGTCTTGTACGTGCAATTGTTTTAGTAAAAAATAGTTAATACTGCTGAGGGGAAATCTCACAAATAAGTAAATGGTCATTATTCACATACATAGCCGCATCTTTAGCAACATGGCAAAGCTTAAAATGAATGAAATGTCCTGAGAAGCATCCCTCACCATTTAACTATCAAAAAACAAAAAAAAGGGCTCTCAATTGTAAAGCACATCAAAGCAAGAGCTACATGTAAAGCATGCAAGTTTTTAATGCAACATAAACAATTTCCATCAGGAATAAATAGCTAAAAAAAGCAAAGTTTGCACTATTGATGATCATAAATTGTGCGTCCAAATAAGAACAAAGACACTTTGACAAAGTCAATGTTGAACTACAGCTCTAGCGAAAAAAAAAAAAACATAACATATTGAACCACATAACCCAAAACATAACCCAAATGACGCTTCTTAAAACACAAGCAAGAATAAAAGGTCACCAAACTAATTAAAAGAAAAAAAGAGGCCATCAAATCGTCTCTATACGGAGAAAGTTTTCACATAATAAAGTAAAAGCAATATATAAGGAAAAGAAAAGAAAAAATCAAGGCGCCAAATAATTCGAGTATGTTCATCACAACATTCAAAAAATTAGCCGAAAAAAACTTCAGTGCAAACATTTTGATGGAAAAGATTTAAAAATCACAATAAGAGACTAACATTGTGAATTAGAGGGGACCAACACCACATGCATTGTTGTGTTGTTTGGAGGAAGTTGCAGATGCAGAGGATAGAGCTTCCCATTCAAAGGGTTTCGGGAGCAAACAATAATATCAGGTAGCTCTGTTTCTTCCATCAGCTTTTGAGTTAGTTCCTCCACGCTAGTCCCCTTGAATCTGAACGTAAACTCATCACCATTCCCAACTTCACCATTATCGTCCGTAATTAAATAGTGAATGATCCGACCTTCAGACTTGTGAGGTGAACCACTGTAAGAAGAGGATGACTGCAATCCCAAAGCTATATCTTAGATCAAAGTAGAGAGGCGAGAATAGTATGTTATGCATAATCTGCAATCATGGAAGAAGCAGGTGGACCAGCCATTGATTGCAGATTAGCAAACAAAGGGCAAGCAAAACCAACCTCTTGCTTGGACAACCTGCGAAATGATTCCGACGAGGAGGAAATAGATGAGTTCTCAGGTTCTGCTGAGGACGGCTCGAGCGGGCGGATCTCGATGACATCCACGTCCCAAAGCAACCAATCGTGGTGGCGGTGCGGAATGTCGTGCGTGACGGAGTTTCTCCACGGCGGCAGACCTCCATTAGCGCGGAGGTAATTCCCGTATCGCGTCTTGAGCTTAACCTGCATTCCATCTCGGATAGGCTCCCATTCCACCGATGAATCGAGTCGACGGGGAAGGGTCTGCAGGACCTTGCTTCCAGTCATTCCGAGAAGAAAGGGCTCACTAGAGGCCGGGAGGTACTTGCCATAGCAGCTATTGAGACGGATTACGGGGAAACCCTCCACAAACTCCACCGTCCACCGCGCTCGGCGCGTCGAGCCATTACGTTCCTGGCACACGTGCTCCTGATCCTCATCTGCAAGGAGGTATTTGTCGTGGTGGCTTCGCAGCCGAACGGACTTCGCACGCTGGAATAGCTCCATCGATCCTAAAGATTCATCCGCCGATCGATCTCAGGCGACGTTACGGTGACATCGATTTAGGTGAGCGATTACCGAGGAATTTTCGAGTTATCCAGTATTGAAATTGAATAAAAAATTAGGGTTACGGGGAGGCGACGATTTTATGCAGGAGAGACTTTCCCGATACAAAAATCTTCCTATTGTTATTATAATACTAAATATTAAATTGTCGTCCCGTGGCGACTTCGTTGTTTCTTACATTAAATTTTAAAATTGGCTTGGTCGTCTATAAAACTAAAATTTGTTTTCTAGCCTGTCATAATTAAATCATTAAAATTCAATTAAACAAGCTGATAATATACTAATTAAATAATAATAATAAAATAATATATTAGAAATAAGTAGAGAAAATTTAAGCTTAAAAGAATCCGAGGATTAATTTATATATCTATGATATAAATTTACATTTATTTATGTAGCATTAAAATTTTAATATAATATAAAAACATATCCCCAGCATATATTTTTTAAAGTAAAGCAAAATACGACGTATTTATTTTTCACATGATTTTGACAAAATATAAAAGTTTAAGTGAAATTATATAAATACATGAAAGTTATGTGATATTTACTTAAATTCCTCTTTAAATTCGACATTGATTCCATGTTTGCACATTCTCCTTTTTTTTTGTGAGTAGAGCTGTCAAAAAGGCTTGTTCTTCACGAACAGTCGGTTCAATAAGTAGTTCACGTTCGATTCGTTCTTTAAACAAATAAATCAAACATGAATAACTTTTTTTAATTAGAATTGCAAAGGAGCAAAAGACAAACAAGATGTTTTTTAATTGTGTTTTGTTTGCTTTAGTTCGAAATAAATAAATAATTTAAAATTAATATAATTATAAAACTTTAAGTAAAATTTTATGATATAAATAATGGGAAAAATTAAAATAAAAAATTTATTAAATTATTATAAAAAAGTTTAATTTAATATTATCTCAAATTGATCTATACTTTTTTGATAATTTTTAAAAAATAATTAAATTTATTATTTTTAAATTTTTTAACTCATTTCAAATTGAATACAAGCAATTCGAACAATTCAAACAATACTAACAATTCGAGATATTCAAATTAAGTTCAAAAAAAATTGAACCAAACAAGAACAGTCATTTCATGAATAATTTCGAACACGAGCTTATTTCAAACATATTTAGTTTCAAACTATTCAAACACAAACAGAAGCTTTGTTCGTTTATGTCTTGTTCGTTTACACCTTTATTTGATAGTATGAGAATAAAATATGTTGCCAATTACATGTTTCTAATGATAAAATAAAATATAGAAAATATTTATGAGTTTTTCTCTCTCCTTCGAAAAATACTATTTTGCCCATTTTTTTTTCCTGAGTAGAAATTCGAGATTATAAATGCATGACTGTGCTCATAATCATTCTAATAATATATCAATTCAACTTGATAGTGAATAAATAACAATATAATAGTATACATAAATTAATATGAAAAACAAGCTACAGAATAAGCCATATTCAAATACAGTGCGTGATACATAATAACTAATAGACATAAATGCAAGCTGCAACATGTAAAACATAAAAAATAAAAAAAAATAAATAAAATATACTGTCAACCTGAATTAAGGTAAGTATTACCTTAATTTATTTTTAGTGGCTATTTTATTTTATTTGTATTATAAGCAGTTAGTTATAGAAAATTTTGATTATCACCATACGACTATATTCATGCCCGATTAATTCCAAGCCCCAAATGAGATAGTCACACCTAACATATCAAAACCTAGACTATATTACACGAGAAATATTTGCGTACGTAAGACGTACGTAGAGTTGCGTACATATTAGGTTATTCAAAGGGTACATATAGGTTACACTTAGGTTATACCCCTTGTAATTTTTACTGTAACCCAAGTGTAACCTATTTGTACCATCTGAATAATCTAATATATAAGCAACTCTGCGTACGTTTTACGTACGCAAATATTTCTTATATTACACACTTGTCACAACTTGCCCTTTTGGCTTGGAAGAATACGACGACCCAAAACTACGGGGCGAGTTCATAAAATTAGAGTTAATCCAGCATAAACTTGTCTACAACAGTTAATAATCGCAAAAAAAAATAAAAAATTTTGAGAATCCAAAGATTCATGACATCCAAATAATTTTTCAATAAAAAATTTCATTTATATCTAATTAATGCAACAATTCTTCTAAAAAATATATAAACTGCCAAACAAAAGACTATATAAATATTTTATCATGAGCATGATGTTATGACAAATTTCCTAATCAATATAATTAAAATTGGTCACCTATCAATAAAAAGTTAAGACTTGTACGAACATTGTTATTTCAAATAAATAAAAAACAATGCACGCAAACACAGAACAAATTATGCAGCATGTAACCTAAAAAAGTTTAAAATTTAGAGGCAGCAGCAGAATTCACCAACAAATTGTGCATTAACTCAGTAAAAATATGATTTTATTTTAATTAGAGAATTGTTGAGATATAAATTTAGGAAACAGGATCTAGCAGAAATGTGATTGTGGACTAATGAGAGAATGATAATACGAGACTTCGGCAGCGTTTGGATGGAGATATGAGTCACTCGATAGTTGTCCCGGATGAAGACAGAGGAAACAACAAAAAAAATGCAGGGCACTGATTTCAAGGAGGTTCATCATCTATACCTGAACAAACTGCAGACAAACCACTTGCAGAAGGAATAAGATATAATATTCCATAGAGTAGAAATCAGATATTACAATCTTCAAAATACTAAAAAAAAAATAAAAGTTTCCTAAACCAGACTATAACAACATATAAATAGTTTATTGATAAAAGATATTGTAATTAGAAATAGAAAAATAGGAAATAAATAAATAAAGAAAAAAATGATAAAAATTGATGTCAGCAGCCTTGTTCAGCATTCGCGATCGTGGGGCTTTCTGCGATCCTACGGAACCGCAGGATTGCGGGAGTTCCAGCACTGCGTTACTCATGGGATTCTCGTGATCAAATTGCAGGATCTCTGATCTATGAATTTGTGGGATGCTCCTGCACTATTCTCCCCGGCTATGAGACATTTATTCTTCTCTAGAATGACATGGATCCCATTGTCAGATGTCATTTCCCATAAAACACCTAAAAATATTTTCAAAGCTACAATTCACCACGTCTATCTAATTATCTGTCATAGACGCACTGCTGGAGTGAGATAAAGTTTTATGCCTAACTTAGACAATAAAATCCTCCAAACAAGGCTAATGAATTTTGCATCTATGTCTGAAGTAATACTCTTGCGTATATCATGAAGACGAACTACCTCCTTGTAGTTTAAGCTTCAATATGTTATATGTTTATTGTTTTGCGGCAAGGAACAAAATGTGCTATCTTAGGGATTCAATTATGATAAGATCATTGTCTTGTTGTGTTTGAGGCAAGTACAGTCCAAAATATATGATTAAGTTCGTCCAAGGCAACACTGAAACACAGATGTAATCATTTTGGCACAATCAGAGCTGGAGCTGCACCTGGGCTAGTACTCTCACGAACCAAGCCTATACCCATCAAGTGTATAATATGTTTTTGCAACTTCTCATACTCGGATGGCCGCGTCACATAGGTGAGCAGGTTTGGTAGAAAAAATCTTGTAATGAGATCAATGGCATGTTGAATCTCTCTCGGTGAAAGCCACCCAAAAGGTAAACTGTCAATCATGACATACATCTCTCGCAACAAGGTTGGCCTCCTTGGACTCACTACCTTCTAGGAGAACCAATATAGTCCTACTAGTGTGTCTTTCATGGGTTCTTTTTGAAGAATCCATCAAATTACTAGCATCTTTCCCTCATCGACTAAAAGACAATACTCCTCCCTGACATCTTCATTCTTTCCCTTGTCACTGCCCATTTCTTCAATTGTCCGTTGCTCAGTAAATAAGATCATTCGCTTGCTTAAGAAATATGATGCAATGTGCCCAAAATAATGATATTTAAAATACTTCCTAATTGGGACAAATTTGAGAGTATTGTTGAGCTCCAACTTTCTCCAGTCTGGATTGACTTCTCCTAAGTTTGGGTCAACTTAGATGTTTCACTTGGTGTACTTTTGTTGCCTGATCTTGGGTTTAAACTCTACTCGTAAGGTATGATGGTCACCTAATGATGTTGTTTCTCTATCTTCAAAGCTAGGGTTTGTACATCAAATAGAGACAAACACGACTGCTGCTACACCACATTACTAATAGCTAGCTTCAATCCTTCAAGAAAGCTCAGCACTATGTACTCCTTTGCTTTCACTAACTCATTTTTCAATATTTCAGCATGAGTTGATCACAATCAATTTTGTATTACTCTACAAAAATCTCTCGGCGTAGATTATGAAATTCTATGAACATATTTTTTCGGTAATGTGGGTGAAGGCATTTGAGCTGAATGTCCTTTTTCATCTTCGACTAAGTGGTGCTCTTACTCTTTCCTTCATGTTGGAAAATATGCTTTAGGTTATACCACTACAAGAAAGCATTTTTCCTTGATTTAATAGCGACTAGCTTGACCCTTGTATCAGGTGGAACATATTGTACTCAAGGACCTATTCCATTGTCTAGAAATCCTCGATAAAATTGTTTGAATCCATGCGGCTCTCAAAATCCAACAAGTCAATCTTGAGTCCAATATCCCAGCTTCTCACCTCATATCTGTGTCAAATCAACAGAGTATTGGCTTTTCCTCACTAGAAAATTCCCAATGGAAAGAATTCAATTCTTCCTCTCGATCTACTGAGTCACTTTTGTGGCTATAGCGTATGAGTGGCCTCACCTCAACAAGTCGTCTACTCTCATAGGCGACAAGTTTTTGTTGTAGTTGAAGGATTTCCCGCTATATATATCCTCCATGATAACTTCTTGGACACATCTTTGAGTTTTTCTCTTAGGTAGCATTGACTTTTTCTTCTGATTAGAGTTTTCGAGGATATAGGAATCTAAATCAAGGTTGGTCAGGGCTTAGGTTTTGGTGGTAGATGTCAACTTGAATTTATTTTTTGGAGTTAGGAAAGTTGGTATTTGAAAATTTAAGGTTAAGATAAAAAGTTACTATGGTAATGGTTAGGATATGATGGGATTTTTTTTTGT